AGTAGTAACATATAACATTCTGGTTCACAGATTTCCATTTCCATGTTCTACTAAAGTGTTATAGAAAGTGTTGAGAAGATAGTGTGACACCTTATCACATTGGTTGATTTAAGGTGCTGAATCCAGATTTAGTTCCTAAATGTCTGTTGGAAGGAACAGCATGGAAGGAACAACTCTGGTGACTACATGGAAATTTCCAGTGCACGCTGGCTCAGGAATTCTGGGAGCTGAAGTCCAGATATCATAAAGGGTTCATAGATGTCACTCCTGTATTACAGTCTCCTAGTGTTCTGCCTGGCTCCCTACACACACATACACGTATAGCAAAAGTTCTACAGGTTCAACACCCCCCCAAACAGGTCCTCGGAAAGCACTCCTGTTGCACAGGTCTAGATTCCAAGCTCGGTACAGCAAGAGTCACTGGGTAACCAGTCCAGAAGTCCAGAAAAGCAGGCCAGGAGTCAAACAGACCAGGAAACACAGCACGAGCACACAAGGCACAGAACTGGGCATGTTGCTCCAGCAACACTCAAGTCCTCAGGGCGAGACTAAGTAGGCAACATGCTGCAGCCCTTCATGAGAAGTGAGGTTGCCTCCTCATGAGTAGTCTAGATGACCAGTGTTGTGCCTGTCTCCTCTCTGCTCTACATGTCCTTAGATCACCTGGGACTGCTCTATCAGACTAGCATTCTCTCAGCCCCAGTCGTGACCAATCCTGGCTCTACCCTTTCTTCTACAGACTCAAACTCACCCTCCTCCTCTGAAGTCACATCTGGAGAAGGGTCCAGGGTGGATCCATGACACCTATCCACAACAGACTTCATTTCATTAAATTCCATTGTTCAGCTATTTGGAAATATTGTACCACACTGAATCACCAAAACCCAACTTCTAAGCACAACGTTAAACTTTAAACCGTACTATAAGAGATATTTACATTCATATTTCAACTATGTTACAAAATCATAGTATAACTATATTTTATTTTTTTAATATAAATCATCCAGAGAATTTTGCCAATGCATGGCAAAAAATCCCCATCAAGTTAATAACTAAATAATAAAAACATGATTTCATTACAGTTGGAGAACTCCAGTTGAGAGACAATCGATATAGCTACTGAAGACTCTAATACATTTCTTTCTCAACTGTTCCCATCTGTAAAATCATATAGCCTGTTAGCCTCTGCTTGTAGCCATGGAGACCATCACAAGAAGACTTCATGTCATTAAGGCAATTGATCTTTTTAATGAATCTACTAGAGAGTAGACATTTAATAGCATATTGTTTTTGAATAAAGAGACTACCTAGTTTTGAATTCATGAGAAACTCTGGATTTGAACCATGTATGCCAAAGATCATAATATTGCACATAGAAACATTCCAACTAAACCAAGAGCTATTTAGTCTTACAAACTTTTTGTTCTACCCTAAACTAAACTGGACTGAAGATCTTTATCATCTGATCTCTTCAGATCAATGTAGCAGGAAACTTATTAATAATGGAAGCTATTATCTCTCAGCTAGGATAAGCTAAGTTGCTTCATAATTAAAACTGGCAAAAATGATCTTGCTTTTCTGATTGTAATTAATGTTTCTTTCTAGTATGATAACCATATGTATTTGCTGCCTCTAACTAAATATAAAGATATCCTGGACTCTTGTTATGATGTCTGAAAGGCTTTGATTCCTAATATATCTGAAATGTTTACAACAAATATTTTGGGTATCATTAAAAACAACTGAGCTACCAAAACAGGTTCCAGTTTTTTGATTAAGCATTGCATATTCACTCAACACAGATGACAACTGACTAAGTATGGTGATCAATCCACATTCTGGATCATTGCTTTCACACATGTGCCAGTTGGAAATGAATGCACGGAGCATAACATGAGTCTTGGAGCAGCCTGATTTTGGACTAAATGTAGATGATGTTGGCTAAGAGATGCTGACTGTTGTGCAAACTGGATAAGCTCACAGTCACCACTCAAGATATTTCCCTAGAGCTCAGGTTGTCATACCAGTTGCCAGATACCACCAAATGATTATTCTGAGTTCATCAGGAGATGAATACATCTTAATAAAAACCAAAATAGTAGCCAATCTGGGACAAATTTCTGGTTTGTGTGGGCCCATGGGTTTGCTCCCATCCACATCATATACTTCAGGATGTTTTTTTTTCTTAAGTGTTTATTGAAGAGATTTTTTCAAAGTAAAAATAATGCAAAGAAAATCATCAAACCCATAAATCACAAGTTGATTTCCAGCAGAAAGTTCATAAAGGCTTTCCAGTCACTGAGAAATATAGCTTTACCATCACTGCTAATTCTGTCATCTTTTAAATATGTATTTCAGGATGTTGTAGTGCTATAATAGTAGGTCCTTCTACATCACTAGATAGAGGGATGGGAAGAGGGAGAGAAACGTAGAAGTTAAGGTGCTGGACTAGAAAGTGGGAAACCTACATAATTCTCTTTTAGTCAAACAAACCAACTAGGTGACTCTGGACCAGCCACTTTGTTTCTCCTCTAAACTGGAGTATTGAATTAGATTTATCTATCAACTTGCACTGGACCATCACAGTAGATTACAGCCTATAACCTTCAATGTTTCATCTGATATGAATATTAGGTATTAGTTATATATCCACAGCCATACACATGTAGTAATTGAAACAAATAAACACAGAATAAAAGAAAGTCAGATAGCTATCAGTACTTAAGTAAGACATTGCATATGTGATTTGTAAGAAAATCCCTGCAAAAGATATGTTCCTTCACTTATAAAGTTATTAGACTAACAAAAGAGGACACATCCTAAAAAAAGAAGCCAGTAGAAATTTAGGTAAGATATCCAGGAGACAACTGAAATATTCAGTGGTATGGTTAATGGAAAATTTCCATTGACTTTGAGACTGTAATGCTTATTCCTTAAGTCAGCCGTGAATAGATTGCTTTTAAACTTGTTTTAACGACATAAGAGCTCTTTCTCCTCCACACAATTTTGTTCATGTAGAAAAAGCCTATTAGTTGATTCCCTTCCTCATCAATATTATCTGAACTTCCTAGGATTAGGAAGCTATGAGCAGTGAAAAATAGTTACTGCTAATCCAAGGCAGTGTGGAACAAATGTTGGTTCTCTTCCATACTAGCAAAATAATGCAGAAAAGGATTAGAAAAAATAAATATGTCTCAAATTATGTGCAACTGATTGTTATGATCAATTTCACCATAGATCCTATTGTTCTTCAAACTCTTTCTCTTTCCATCAATATTTCAAAAGTTAAGTTAGCCCCAGCTTGAGAATTGCTATGAGAACTTGGATTGTCTCAAGAATGTATACATTACGTCAACATGTAAAATCAGGCATTTTATAGAATCCCTAGAAAATCTATAAAATGCCAAAAATGGGACAACAAAGTATGGAACATTTAATATTTCACACATTTCCTTGGCATTCTATACAATGCCAAAAGATAAACTGGCAAAGTATAAAATACTTTAGTTGGAGTATAAAATACTTTGACTAAAATGCAGAGGTGGGATTCAAATTTCTTAACAACCGGTTCTGTGGGTGTGGCCTAATTTGTGGGTGTGGCTTGGTGGTCGTGTCACTGGCTAGGCATTGCTTGCTGACTGGGCATGGCTTGTATGTAAATATTATAAATATTTATGTAAACATTGAATTTTTTATAAAAAAAGAGCAACTTTTACCCAAAATTAGGCAAAGCAGGCAGGCAGATTGAGTTGCTCACAAAATCGCAGATTCATTCAGAGACATATCTTTCTGCAATCAGCTACCTGAGTCTGTCACATAAAATTTGTTTGCTAGCAAACTCACAAAATTAACTCACAACACACTATGTATGTAAATATTGAACTTTTTATAAAAGAAGATCAACTTTTACCCCAAATCAGGCAGAGCAGGCAGATTGAATTGCTCACAGAATCACAGATTCACTTAGAAATCTGTGTTTTTGCCATCTGCTACCTGAGTCTGCACTGAATAATAGAAGCTTTAGGCTCAGCTCTGCTTTTAGATTAGCTAGAAAGCAAGAAATCCAACAATTTCCTGCTTTCTAGCTAATCTAAATCTCCTGGCACAGCAGAACAGCTGATGGGCGGGGGAGAAAAGGAAAAATAGCAACTTAGCAAGCAAGTTTGATGGCACACATGCCAGGTAAAAAGTGAGTGGGTGGGGCAGGGCGGGGCCAGCAGTGGCGCGATTTGCCAGTTTTCCAGCAAGTAGAATCCCACCCCTGGTGAGAGTGCATTTTGCGCACACATGTAAACCATTTGCTAAAAACCTCAGCTATGCTGTCCAGACAGCTGACAAGGGCTGCATGCAGGTGCGCAGCATTTGAAAATCCTCTTCTTTCCTGCTTTTTCAATCCCAGTTGTGCCACGCAAAGCAGCTGAGGTTGAAAAAGCAGGAAATAAAGGATGGCCAAGAGCCCGGGTGGGCAGCGTGGCCAAACAGAGCAGCAGATACTGAACCAGTTCATTGTCTGCTGCTCTTCAGAGCTACCAGTTCTATAGAACCAGGCCAAACTGGTAGCATCCCAGCCCTGCTAAAATGCCATTGTAGCCTTCCTTGTTGGAACAAGTAGGTCAATACTGGTCTTTTTAACTTGTGTTTTATTTTTTTCAGTAAGAAAGTCCTTTATTTTGCAGTTCTTTTATTTTCATATCTGTCTTTTCAATAAAGAGTTAGGGTGAGAGCTAACCCTAACCCTCAGCCTTACCCTTTCCGTTACTCTCTTTTCATACTTTGCCTAAATAGTTCTTGTCATTCTGCATAATGTCCACGTATTCTATTTATACAGTGCCTAGGGAAAGTATATCACAGACATTTCATACTTTGCCTAAATGTTACATTATATACATTATTCAGGCATTCTATTCAATGTAAGCTTTTTACACATTCCTGGTAACGTATATAAAAATGCACCAAAGAATTGTGCACCATGACAGCATGTTGACACTCTGTAATCTTACCATCCCGTCTGATGAGTTTTGCAAAGCTGGGGTTGTGGTTGTTGGAGAGTTTGGATGAACTGTCAAAAGCTGATGCAGGTAATGACAGTATCAGTGGCTCTTCACAATTATCTACAAAACAAGAAAAAAAATATGGAAAGCATGAAATATAATGGAAAAAACTTTTGGCTTATCAGGATCATTTCATGGAGACAGACACACAGAGATAGAAACAGAGGAGAGAGGGGGGGAGAAGGACATATCTGCACCTGTTCCTTCCTAATTAATGAATTACCTTAAAAGAAACAAGCTTGATAATAAAATTCTCTGCAAAAATATACATGATACATACATACATACATATTAGTATCATGTATAATAATATACACACACAAACACACACACATAATATTTTCCTCAACAGCTTTCAATAGATATGGTGTGAAATATCCCATTTTATCTCAAGAAGAATATAGACGTGGGTCTAGCCCAGGGGTGGGATTCAAATTTTTTTAACAACTGGTTCTGTGGGCATGGCTAAGTTGGTGGGTGTGGCTTGGTGGTCATGTGACTGGTGGACATGGCTTGGTGGTCATGTTATTGGCTGGGTGTGGCCAACTCAATATCACTTATATCGAGGCATGCATCTCCTCCCCTGGCCTCTCATGACTGTGGGGATGCTGCAACAGTTGTAAGTGTGAAAAATGGTCATAAGTCACTTTTTTCAGTGCCATTGTAACTTTGAATGGACACTCCACACAAGCAAAGTACCAGCAAAGGAGGGGGAAAAACTCCAAAGAAGTTCCTGAGACAGGAAGTCTAGTCCTGCCAAGAATATAATAAAGATTAACGGAGAGGCAGTTTCTGTAAGCAACACCTTCCTTACAGGATTAGGTCAGTAATTTCTTCTAACAACCAGTTCTCCAAACTGCTTAGAATGTTAACAACCGGTTCTAGCAAATAGGTGCGAGCTGGTAGAATCCCACCCCTGGTATAGCCTCCTAAGATTATGTTGTGAAGGAGGTTCAAATTTACAAAATCAGAAAAGCATGCAGGTGGGTCTTTTAGGCAGGCAGATGCTACAAAATACAAGGTCATCATGCCTTCTGGAAGCTCCTCGAGAGAAAAAGCAGTGGGAACAACTTGCAGGAGTGGCTTACAATCTTCCCCATTGACTTCCCTTGTGGAAAGAGGCAGGAAAATTTGTAAATGTTGGTCATGTGGCGATGGGACATAGCAACAACCATTGTTATTGTGATCCAGTTGTCAGTAATCCAAATTATGGTCATGTGACCAAAGGGACACTGCAATAGCCAGAACTTTGAGTACCAATCAAAAGCTCCTCCAGTTCAGTGCCACTTCTAAGTTTTAATGATCTCTGAACAAGTGGCCACCTTACCACCTTCTTTTATACTCTTTAGCAGCCATCAATTCAAACAATTGACTATCTATGAAGATTCTCAGTCATCCAGGTCATGGTTGTCCCAAAGGTGCTTTTTCAAGAGGCAACTGGACTTTCTG